TCCAAAAATGCTATATGAATACATTAACTTACTGTGGCTGCATGTTTGATGATATAAGGAATGCATTATTTTTACAAATTAACATGTTTTTGTCCTGAAACTTTGGTTCTCATTAGATTCAGTGGCAATTCAGAATCAATTAAACACATTATTTAAATGTTAAATATTTTTTGATGAGTAAAATATTTCAAGATGATCATGAATTGGCATCTATTTTTATTGTTTGACTTACTAAATAACTATAATTTTACTAGTATATATACCATAAAAATAATAATATAATTTCAATGAACTTCCTGAACAAACAAGTTCAGAAGTTCAGCTGCTTAACTATGATTTTCTGATATTCACAGAAATGTTTGATGGTTTTGTTAGTGATTTATGATTCACTGTCTCTTGATATTATATTCTTTCAAGATGATTATCATTTGGAGATAGATTATTTTGAGATTTTGGGCATTGAAAGTTTTTTTTTTATCTTATTAAACATAAATAAATGATCAAATTTTGATTCTGATTTAAATATGTAGTTTTCACTTCTTTTTTAAGTTTTAAAAATGCAATTAAACTTAAATTAACACAAACTATAATAGTATAAAATGTGCTAAAGGCTGCTTGCATTTGACAACTTTGATAGTCATATCATCATCTGTGGCTAATTACAGAAATAGTTGAAGTGCATTTTCATGTGCTTATAAAGAAATTATCATTGAGACTATAATCATATACATCAATTGTCAATTGCTAGAATAATTCTCAAAGTTTGTTTTTAGTTGATGAGAAAGTGTTATTTCAATGAAACCCTTCTAGACTACTAGGTTGGAAGAACTGCTGCTGCTGCTGACATTATTATTTTTTCCCCCATTGATTTCATAGTCATTGAATCTCATTTCAGTTGATTTCTTTCTCTGGGGATATTCATATACAGTAGAGCGTCGTTTATCCGAATCAATTGGGGACTGGGGTGGTTCGGATAACTTATTTTTCGGATAACCAATTATGTACGAAAAAATATATTAATTTATCCCATGTTGAAATTTCTCTCTGTTGCGTGTCGCTTCACGTTGAATTTTCATTGATGTTAAGCCTAACGAAGACTATTGTATCGTTAAAAATTATTTTTTTTATTTTGTACAAACAAAATAAATATATTGAAAAATATAAAAACAATAAAAATTATACTTCAGATGTTAATTTAGTATCAAAAATGTAGAATATTTGAGTAGCCCGAGAAAAAGCCGAAGATTGCAGCGCCACAGCACTAGCGAAAATTTAAATTTGCTGACTGGAATGCTTTTGGATAACCAGCTTTCGGATAAATGACGCTCTACTGTATTGTTGATAGACCATCCTTACTGTATAATTCTCAGGAATTAAAGTAATGGATTATCAATAGATAACATTTAGAGAAAGAGGTTTTTCTGAAGAGAGTATGGATGAAATTTAAGTATCAACTTTGCATGATATGACATATTCACATTCAATATCCACAGCTTTGAATTAGGAATTATTTATATATTAGATATTAAGTATTAGATATTATATATATCTAAGAGACAAATAATTAAAAGTTGTTAGCAGTACAGTTAGGAATGCAAGTTATACACTAGGAAAATTCAATCAGTTCATAACTAGTTTTAAAATTATTGTTTCTGATTTTTACGTTGGCTGTTAAATGCAATAATGTATGCACTTGGACACATTATGTTATGCCTTGCCTAGCTCTTTAAAAAGTGTGGCTACTTCCTTGCCATTAAACCATAACCCATATTACAAAGATTGAGTAATGATAAGGACTGTTGTTCCACTCATGAGAGGTTGAGTTTATAAAATTTCTTTGAAACAAGATTCAAGCATTTCTATAGACACAATCTCTAGAATGCTTGCTAACATCATAATAGAGAAACAAGATGAAATTTTATATGATAAACATACTACTGAGTTAGCTAAGAGGGTCCTGAAACACAACTGAGAGCCCCTAGAGTCAGAAGCTGTTCTGCTTTGACAATGTATAGATAGAAATACGCTATTTAGGAATCATTATACATCTCAACCAACGATGTCTGCAATCAGCCTACACTTGAACTACCAGAACTATGGATATTATTTTTTAAAGAAGCAAAAAAGCAGTTATAGCTGTTAAGAGACCACTTCATGTACTGTACATTCATATTCCCATCCCTGCAATTGCAGTTTAATAGTTAAATTTTGAATTCAAATCATATTAAGGTTTTGTAATTTTTGAAAGTTAACTGTTTACCTTTAATTTTTAATCTCAATTTAGCTCTAAATGTTAAAAAAAATTGTGTATTAACTTTTCAGTCTTATATATTGTATTCTATTTCTTGAATTTTCTTAACAAATATGAATTATTTTTATTCTGTGTGAAGAACTTTGCCTGAGGATGATGAAAATACTTTTGCTGAAAGTAGTAGTATGAATTTTGTCTTATTGTGAAATTAGTCATTCTAATGCTAAAAGACAGTCACTTTTCTTTATTGTATTTTATATTCTTCGGTGTATAGTGCTTAAAATTCTTCTGTTTACAACTTTAAAACTATATCATATGTTCAGTGATTATTTCCTAATAAATATATGAAAATGTTTCTTTTTTTCCTTGAATTACCTTCTAATTTGCATCTTAAAAACTTAAACTATTTTGATGTTCGTTGCATCTAGTATTGCAAATCCAAAACATGGATTCTGTATCCAATTTATCAATACAAGATTACTAAGGAATATTGTCTATATCATTAGCAAACTAAGGGAAGTTGGCTTAAAAAATATTTTGTACATGTGGTTCTAAAAATATATTTATTTTTAATTTTGATGTAATGTTACTAATATATTTTTATTAAAATGTTCAATTATTTTACTTTTAGTTTTATTTGATTACTTTTTTAAGGTGGTTATTTAAAGAGAGATTCTGCCCATTTTATTTTCTGAACAGATTCAAGATTTTGAAGCAATATTTTGTATATTAGAATTTTTCAACTGATTGCTAAAAATCAACATTATTATAAATTAAAAAAATTATTAATGATATTCAAAACTTCTAAGAATATTCTAATTACACTGAAGATCAATAATTATTTAACATTTTCTTACTCACTGTTGCATGCCATATGCCCATATGCAGTGATTGTTTTTTTGGCATTGATGTATGTCATACATTTGATGTGAAAAATGCTCTACAAATTTTTGTTTTAACATCTCTGAAGCATTCACTGTTGTATGTTTATTTCACTATTTTTCCAATAGTTGTCATTATGCTAGAGAAATTATTTAGGTGTTTTGACAGGAAAATTTAGTTTCATTTTGAAATCTGAAAGCATTTCTGTAACTTGTTTCTGTTAATTTTTTGTTCAAACAAATAAATTATTTTATTTATAAATATTAATAATTATNATATTAAGTAATTTGGTATTAGAGGTAGATGTTAAGTGCCATCTTTTATCTAAATTAATAATTATAATAATTTAATAATTTATTAAAGAATTCAGAACAGTCTGGAAGAAAATAACTAACAGGCCTGGAGAGAGATTTGAACCTGCAACCTCTGCTCTATGTAGTGTACTGCCAGTTATGTCACTTGGACCTTTGAGCAATTCTTCACTTCCAGACATTTAAACATAGATATAACCATTCACGGTTAATCTAATACCAAATTACTTAATATATAATTATTAATAATAGCAAAATAATATTTCATTCGCTGATACCTGATTTCATTGCCATCTTCTTGTGCATCTACATAAGCAAAAAGATGAGTCGACACTTTAGAAATTACAATATTCCAAAGAAAGTGAGAACATTAGCCAAGTTTGATCTGGAGATCTTAACAATTCTGCATTATATAGATTAGAAAGAGTAAGGTTTTTACATTTATTTTTTATTTCATCTACATAAAGATTACACATTCTTCATTCTACTATGTAGTTTAAATCTTTCTGTTCAAGAATTTATGATGACCAGTTAAGACAAATGAAAATATTTTATTCTAGGTAAACATCGCTGTATTATAAAAGATTTTAATTTTATTTTAAAATTGGTTAAATAATTTAAGTTAATGCAGAGTTCCATTCTAAATTTAATTATTTGCTCAATTTTTCAAAAATTTTAAATAGAGTAGAGAAAACACTTGAAAGTTTGTCTTTATAATGGTCTTAGTTTCCATTTATTGGGCTGCAATTTGAAAAAATTGTAGACCTATAAATTCCCACTGTCATCTGTCTGTCTTTCCTTAATCTCAAGAATGGTGTTATATAGACGAAAGATGAGACCAGATATGGAAATCTTAGGGACAGAAGATCTTGATTAATTATATATGAACATCCAATGCAAACCAGAAGTTACGTTATTTCAATTCAAACTTTTACCCTGAAAACAGTTAATAGATGATCGACACAATTCTATTGTTAAAGGAAAAGTATGATGTACAGGGACAAGCCACTACTAACTTGAGTTGGAGAGCATGTATTTTAAATTAAATAAATTAAAAATATGTTTAAAAATTTCAGCCCAGCATTGTGATGTCACAATAAATAATTGCTCATTCAGATATTAACATTATCAGATACCAACATTAGCTACCTCAATTACTCAGGCATTAGATAATTTGAAATTTATAAACAGTTCAAATCTTTTTAATCTTATAAAAATTTATAAATTTATTTATTGTGTATTATATAAAATTTTAACACAGAATTATTTACTAAAATTCAATTGTTAACTATCTTGTTACAAAAACCCACTAATAGAGTATGATTTCCAAAATATAATTGTTTTGAACAAGTTATAATAGAAATGATTTGAGAATTAGCCATATTTATGTTTATTAAATTTTTGATTATTCAAAACCAATAAAGTATTGGGCAATTCTACTAATATTAAAATAAAACTGATGCTTATATAATGAATAACTAACAATTTTTTTTATATCAAAATATTTTTTTAATATATTATTTTTTTTATAAAGGTTAAAATTATTTGCATTTTAGGCCTACGTGGATTGATAAATTTAGGAAACACTTGTTTTATGAATTGTATTGTCCAAGCTCTGACGCACACCCCTCTTCTTCGAGATTACTTTCTTGCTGATCGCCATGTCTGCCAGTTCCAAGATGATCCTTCCATGTGCCTGGTGTGTGAAATGTCCAGGCTCTTCCAAGAGGTAAATAAAAGACAATGAAAATTTAATGTTTTTATTAATATTAATTCCTTAATTGTTGTATTTTATATTTATATACAAATATAAGTTTTTTTTTAAATGAAACACATTCAAGATGCATAGCTATCAGACAAGGAAGAAAGGAAAGATCAAACACAAGCAAATAAAAAGACTAGTATTTAATGAAGCTTACTGTATACAGTGTTTCTCATAAGAAATCACCTTGGCATTTAAGCAGGCATCCTATTGTTTTGGTAAGCAATGAATTCTGTCTTCAAAGAAAGATTTTGGTTGCTGCTTGAATTAATCCTGAACTGTGTCCTTTACGTCCTCATCAGTGTTGAATCGTTCTTCCTTTAGGAATTTCTTTAACAGTCTGAAAAGATGAGTCACATGGTGACAAATCTGGACTGTGTGCAGAATGTTCAAGAACCTCCCATTTCTTATGGGCTAGTGCATCAACAATTACCCTCATGATGTATGGCTATGCATTGTCATGGAGAATGATGACTCCTGAAAACAGCATGCCAGGTCACTTGTTTTTAGTCATATGCAGATTATTGATTATACTGGTGGGTATTGATCATTGGAGTCTTTAAACTCCAGTAAGATGGGTTCTGCATGTTGAAGAATGCATTCAGCATAGCCTTTTTGGGTGGCAGCTGTGTTTTGAATTTCTTTAGGTTTGGGTGAGCCACTGCATGTTGCAGACTTTCCTATTGGAAGGAGATGAAACGTAGTGAACAAGTTTCATCTCCTGATGCTATGCACCATAGGAATTGTCACCTTTGTTACTGTAGTGCATCAAATACTGTAAGCTGGAGTCCATTTACTGTTCCTTGTGATGTTCAGTTAGCATGTGGGATATCCATTGGCAATATATTTCTGGTACTCCAAGTTATAGGAGAAAATCCTATATAGTTCCAACATAAATGTCAAAATCACTTGCGTAATCATGGAAGCACTGTCAATGATCATAATCAGGCTATTGGTCATGATTTTGCACACTTGGCTAAAACATGGCAAATCTGCTGTTTCCTCTCAGCCCTCTTGGAACATTTGCAATCAATCAATAACAGTCATCTTTGACATACTCTTTTCTCTTCACACAGCAACCATTCTCCAATGAATCTCCACTGCTTTGCATCCCTTAGCTGTTAAAAACTGAATTACTGTTTGCTGATCCTGCTTGGACAGGTTTCTAACCACACCAGCCATCGCCAACATAATGCCATGCATCTAAATATGAAGCCAGTGGAAAATTTAAGAATTGTGCATGCACCACATATATGGTTTCACTTTAGCATTTGCATTCCAAACTTCAACTCATCTTGTGGCACACTTTAAATGGGTTTCATTTGAAGCATTTTCTGGATGTAGTGCTGTGCCATCAATGTTTCTTCCACCACCACTATGGGTAATGTAACTCATACAAATGGTTCCTCAGACAGCATGCCAGCAATGGGAGCAGTCTGCCACTCAATGGTAAAGATAAGATTGATTCACTTCCTAGTGGTCTTCCACACTCTAACATGGTGGTTGTTTGTTTCCAAACAGATTCCAGAGGCCATATTCTGGTCACTGTCTCTGGTCTCTCATCTGTCACAAGCTGGTCGCTGATTGGCTAATCATTTGGATTAGCTAATCAGCTACCGGCTTATGAGAGACAAGAGACCAGAGATGGTGACCAGAATATGGCCCCAGGATTTTTTGCTAAAGACAATGTATTGTCAGTCCATAGCTATTCATTCTTCTCTGCTGTTACAGCATCACTGCAAATTAATCTAATGATGTAGGAATGCTAACAGTAGGACAGTAAATTAAACTTCACTCTGACACTGGGGATGAAATACTAAATACTGAACCTGTTACCGGTGTAATTTGCGTGAAAAAATCTTCTTTCCACAAATGTTTTTGAGCTTCGTAGGACAGATAGCAGTTGCTGTTTTTGTAAATTGCCTCTGCTACATCTGCTAATGGTACAAAAAGAGACAGGATTTTAAAGAGGCTTCCACTTTTATCTGGATAATAGACAAAAAAGCTATTGAAGCTGCTTGTGCTTTTCTCATGATTAGATGATCATCTTGCTTGGTGGTGTGTCTGGAGTGCCCAAAACTTGGCCACCATGTATTGTGTGTGCTGATTCACTGCCTCCAACACCTCACAGTCAGGTCAAAATAGCCATTGTGCTTTCTTCAGTTCAATGATATAACCTTCCTTAAACTGTGTCAACTGTACATAATATCATAGACTACATATATAAACAACCCTATTAACCCAATGTAAAGCAATAACACACTAACAACTGCTGTAAATCATCGGGCTGTAATTTTGAATAAATAATTATAGATTACAAATGCATTTGGCACTAGAGGGAGGCGTTAGGTGCCATCTCAGATTAAAATTAATAATTATAATATTTAATTAAATAATTTAAATTATTTAATCTATCTGTGAACTTATCAAATTGAACAAATTAGTTTTACAATCATGAGAATGCTTTATAATAGAAAATACTAAAGTGCAAATTCATGATTTGGTAGTATTATAAGAAATATTGCCATAAAATTCCAGCAAAGATAAATTTAGTTTAGCTAATAGAGTGGTTGCAGCCGACATTTTCGCAATGAAAACGTTGGCCGCAACCTTTCTAATGTTTTTGTATTTGACCATAATCATGCTATTTATCATATTTATCAATTATTTATTTATTATATACATATATGTATATATATACATATATATTATACATATACATATATACATATATGTATATATATACATATATATTATATACATATATGTATTATATACATATATGTATATAATATTGACAAAAAATAGCTGAAAGAAATTATGGAATTGTTAAAAGATGAAAATCTGATTTTTGATGTTAAAATGTACAAGCGAGACGAATGAAGCCTGAATTAATAATTCAGGTGTATTTTTGTCGTTTCCATTTATTGTTGAAACACATAAGAAGTATACATAAAGCGTTCTTATCGAAAGTAAATAAAATTTACATTAATAGTTTCACAAATGGGGTTAAAAAATATCATATCTTTTATCAAAATAGCAAAGTATTCGATATAACCTGGATTTATTCAATTTCCAGGATATTTCTGTGTTCAATGGCTAAAGAGAGACTAAAAGGAAGCCCTTTCAGGAGGATGTTGAGTTGGAACTAGAAATCGTTAATTGGAGACGANTAAAATACATTAATATTTATTGTAACAAATGTGTGATGATTAACTTTTTTTAATTTAACAGGATCTTAGAAATACAGTAAAATCTCACTTGTAAGCCTATCTATGAAAAATTGACATACAAAATTGTATTTAGAGTACCATACTGAATCTTGCTATAAGTTAAATATTGATTGTAAAAGTAAGCAAAAAGATAATATGCCATATTAAGTAGGCACAATAGAGTAAGAATTCAGAACTTTCTGTAAAAAGAACTATTGGACAAATTTCAACCAAACTTTGCACACACTGTCCTAAGTATGTGGTTTCAATTTTCAGGAAAAATTTTTACTTCAAAATTCAACAACTATAGTAAACTTTGATGCAAATGTAGTGCAAATTTCAGGAGTTAAGAAAGATAGTGCAATAGTTTTACTTCAATTACAAACGTGATTACAAATATGAAGTTAATGATTAATTAGGCAAAATGAGCACCATGATTGTTCATTTGCCAATGAATTATGAAGAATATTTTATGATGCCTTTGTGAGGCTCTGGACAGGTCCGAACCCTAAATACTGTAAGCTGGAGTCCATTTACTGTTCCTTGTGATGTTCAGTTAGCATGTGGGATACCCATTGGCAATATATTTCTGGTACTCCAAGTTATAGGAGAAAATCCTATATAGTTCCAACATAAATGTCAAAATCACTTGCGTAATCATGGAAGCACTGTCAATGATCATAATCAGGCTATTGGTCATGATTTTGCACACTTGNAAATCGATTTGTCAGATTACTGATTATGTACAAAAAAATATATTAACTTATCCCATGTTGAAATTTGTTCAAATCCTGGCACATACTTAAGTATCCTTTCATAGTCACACTAGTGCTGCCAGCTAAAACACGCACACCAACAAAAATAATATTGGGGTAGCCCAAAACATAGCCAAAGATTGCAGTGCCACAGCACTAGCGGAAATTTAAATTTGCCAACTGGAAAGCTTTTGGTTAATTGACGTTTTAGTTGATCGACATTCGGATAATCGATGCTCTACTGTGTATGTATGTATGTATATATAATATATAGGATATTTCAAAAGTCACAGAAATGTTAAATAATTAATAACTCACAATCTACTTACAGTAAGATGATGCAGTTTTCACAGAAATGCTTAGAAAGAAGTGGGATTTTTTTTATGTGTATTAAAAATTTTAATACCAAAATAGTTACATTTTTTGCCATAGATGGCACTTGATAAGATTACATAATTTGTGTAATTGTTATTAGAGCTTACACTAAGAACATTTTTATTATTTTATTCTTATTTTAACAAATTTACAAATACTACAGCACCATCTATGTCAAAAAATGTAACTATTTTGATACTAAAATTTTTATTACATCTAAAAAAATCCTGCTTTTTTTTATCATATCTGTGAAAACTGCATCATCTTACTGTAAATAGTTTGTGAGTTATAAATTTTTAAAAATTTCTGTGACTTTTGAATCACCCTGTATATTTGAAATTTGATTGAAATTTGCCCAATAGTTTTTCCAACAAAGAGCTCTGAATATCTTATCTTTAATTATGATCACACTGTCATTCTTTGTTATACCGAGTACTGAAACAGGACGTATGTAGAGTGAAACTGTAGAACTCTACTGCAAACTGTTTGCAGTAGAGTTCATTCAAGTATTGTACAGTTCAACTGTTTACTACTCATAGACAGAATCAGTACTCTAATGGAATCAATTTGTTTATGAAATTGTAGTAAAGGTTTTCATTAAATTTTGTATTTTAACAGGAGAATTCAGAAAAAAAAAAATTTAAACAGAAGTCAATAAATACATAAAAATGTCCAAGTTAATAAAATTGGCTTTTACATCAGACGTATCAACTTTGTTGACTGTTGCAAGTGACTTATCCATGACATAGACCATCATTGATTTACAATAGTTATATTTTTACAAAATGTGATCAGATTTTGTATAAAATTATTGAACAAATATATAATTGTTTTCTTCTTACTAAATTCTGAAGATTAATTTAATTTGTCTAGTGTAAATAATTTTATTTTATTTGAATGCCATCTATTAGAGGATATCTCATCAAACCATTCTAAAACTATAGCAGCAAAGTTCAGTTTTGTTTAGTGTTAAAGCACTTTACAATATGTTTAGTTTAGAAATGCAGGATTTTCCTGTTCTATTGACCACATAAATGGAGATAAATGTCATTTCATGACACTTATCATGGCTACTTAAATAAGGTGGCAACAAAGTGAAATTTTACTGTATTTACTTCTAATAGAAATCATTAGTTTAAATTATTATAATAACTTTTTCAATATAAATATTTTTCAGATATAATAATTTTGGTTATATGTATAGTATGTATTTTCAGATAAATATGTATTTTTATTGATATATTTTTTAGATAAATTTTTTATAGTTTTATTCAGGGAAAAGCACTCCTCACATTCCATACCGATTACTCCATCTTGTATGGACACATGCCAGGCATCTAGCTGGTTATGAACAACAAGATGCTCATGAATTTTTTATAGCTACATTAGATGTATTGCATCGGCATTGTAAAGGTATTTTAAATTAATATTTTATGACATAAAAAAGTTAAATGCAATTTAATAAAATGTTAATAGCAGTGGCGTGCCATCCATGGAAGCTGTGGAAGCACCACCGCTTCCCTTGTATTTTCTAAAATATAAATACATATTGTACAATTATTTTCATATTTGTACTTTGAATTAATTAAAATTAATATTTTATTATAACTGCATTATGTATCTTATTACAAATTTCTATACTGCATATGAAAAACAATGATAAGATTGCTATTGTATATTCAAATATAAATTCGTATATGCATATTTCCAATGGAAGCACCATATTGTCAAATACAGGATAGCTTTTATAGTGAAAATATCTGAATCGTGTAAATCAGCTAGATTTGCGCTGCACTTTACAGAGCACCAACCTCACATGGTTTAGCTTGTGGATGCTACACACCAAAATATTGTATAATGCTTTCAATGATTCTATCCAGGGCCGGCACAGCTTCCCTATCATCATATGTACACCACTGATTAATAAAAAAAAACCTTATTGAAAGTATTAATATATATGTAGATGAAAAACAAATTATAGTATAAATGAATTAAAATACAATCAAACTCCATATTACAAACTTCTATATAGTGAATTTTTCCACATAACAAATTTTTGCATTGTACACTGCTCTTTTAACCAAAAATATAATTAATATTGCTTCTAAATAATAGTTAAATTTCTATATAACAAATTTTTTTAATTTGTAAGGATTCTCAATCATTAAAGGTTGATTACTCCATTTGGGTCAAGTTTGAATTTAGGTTCAATTCAGGTATCAGTCTGTAAACCCTTTGTAAAACCATGGCATAGGTGTGAGAAATACTGGTAGTTAGCTTTTAAAATCATTATGTAATCTGCCCCACATGGTTACTGGTTGTAAAGAAGAGGGTGAAAGGTTAGATCCAAATGCGTTGTAATTAAATTTGTAAAAAACAAATTTAATTACAACGATTAGGCATCCATCTTTCTTCTTTGTTTTGAAAACAACTAGTGTCCTCTGCTTTTTTTCTTTCTCTTGCCTCCTCGTGGGATTTTTCTCTAAAAACTTCTTACAATTTTTTGATTAAAACTTCTTACAACCTTTTGATTAAAACTTCTTCTCTTTGCTAGTTATAAACTACACCAGTAAAATGAGTCCTACTTATAAACAAGGTCTGTATGGGCAATCTAAAAACAAAATTAAAATATTAAGGACATAGAGGTAAAAAGAACTGAAATATATCATTTACATATTGTTTCATTCTATTTTTCAAGTAAATTTGATTCACCTTAATGAAAGATATTTATTATCACTACTATAGCACAAAAAAAAAAAAGAGAGAGATAACTATGTTGTTTTAATACAAAACAATTAAATTAATGTTAAATATATTTAAAACATGGAATGAAATAGTTTATAAATGATAACATTTATGCTATGAATATTACATCATAGACTTATTAGATAGCAATAGAAATGGGAAATTTGTCTAGTACTTAAAATTAGTCTGTTGTTATTTTTAAAATGAGGTTTTAATCCATTTATCTATATACAGTGGTACCTCAGGTTACGAACACCCCCAGCATACGAAATTGTCAGGATACGACATGAAATTCAAACATATTTTTGCTTCACGATACGAACAAAAACTGACCATACAATGTTACATTAGTTTGCTGCGCCATTTTTTATTCACTTCTGTTCATTGGTCTCAGTCCGTGTGTTTGCTTCGTTGTGGAAGGATCTCGCTCGATAAAGGAAATCTTGAGGTATTATCAGAAAGTGACTGATTTTATTGAAAAGAAACATCCCAAAAAGGTTCACAGTGGCCGTGTTGCTGCTTTTTACCGGAGTAATGACATTTGCCAAAGTCATTTTAGAAACATTTTAAAAAGTAGGCAAAGCAAAACTTCTTAGGAAAGGTATTTTACCAAGCAACCTCTATCCAGTCAAAGTGCTGGTGGAAGTGAAGGAAAGAAAGCAAAAAGTAGTGAATAAAAATTAAAAAACACAATATATACATAAAACAACAATAATTTTTTAAATCTTTTCTAAGTTATTGTTACATTATGTTATGAAAGTTAAGTTTTAGTATCATTTTCCTTCTCCCTTTGTTCCACCATCAGTTTATACCTTCACNAGTAGTCTATGCACCCCTTTAAAAAATATCTCTATATATGCATTTGTGAACTGCTATTTACGATATTTGTAATAATTTTTGTTTAATCACTTTATTTCAACTATTTTTTGCTAATTATGTATTCGCTCAAACTTTGTTAAAACCTTAACTGTATCCTAAACAACAGCCAAAGTTGTAGGAGGAAATTCTCCTATTTTACCGATCTAGGGATCCCCTTTTCCAAATTTTAATATCAACTCAAAATAATTTAAAAAGACAAATTACAATAAAGACAAAATACTCCAATAAATAAATAGAATTGAAATGATACTTTGAAATGTTTTCCCGATGAAAATGAATAATAATTCAAGCAAATCATTTTTATTGAAAGTTATAATAATAAGTTTCAATAAAAATGATAAAATGTAAATTGAATTTTATTATAACGAGTTTGCTTGAATTTCATTTCTTCTGAGATTGCAGCAATGCATGACGGGTAAGCTAGTATTAAATAAATTAACAAATATGTATATCAAAGTTTAATCATTTTAAGTTTAAATCTTATATGTGTATATTCCAATATATTTGAAATAATTCCAAAACATTAGCTTGACCTATGTTGAGAATAAAATAAAATTATTAGTTTTCTAATATAAATATAATTATTTATTAAGTGATTATAAATTGACATACATTTATCATTTCTTTTTCTTAGAATATAAGTGTTATAATCATGTTTGGTTGTAACATTGATGATTTTTATTTGACTTGATGGAAGAACAGAATCAAATTGATAATGAATCATAGAAAAGTTTTTTCTATTCAAAAATACTCTGTATTATAATGAGTGCACATAAAATAATTACTTTTATATTTCATAATCTGAAATTTATGGATTTGAAATTAAAAACAATTAACATCTGCATTTGTTCTGATTGTTGATCAAAATTTCTGTATGATTAATATATGTGAATTATAGAATAAAATCTGGAATATCTAACTTTTGTTATTAAAAAAAATTAAAAGTAAAATAAATTAACAATGTCTATTAATAAATATGATATACAATTTTTAGATGCAATTATATTGTATAATATATTAAAATAAATATTTTATTATTTTAGGAACCAATGGTTTATCAAGTAGTAATCCTCATCATTGTAACTGTATTATTGATCAAATATTTACTGGAGGACTTCAGTCTGATGTTATATGCCAAGCTTGCAAGTAAGAATTTCACTTAGAACACTAATTATTCTTTGACTAATGAAACTTTTTGTATAAGTGAATATTTTTAATTTGTTACTAAAATCATAAAATAGAATATCATTAATGCAGCAGATTAATAAATACTTAAGGTATTCATAAAAACCTTACAAAAATTTCAATGCCTGCCTGGATTCATGATGCATAGAGAGTAGTATTAATTTGAAAATAAACAACTTCCATGTTCTATTTACAACTTATATATTAATTATATATTCTTACAAGGTATTTCTTGTAAGAATAAAGGAGGTATTCCTTGACAGTCAACAAAAAGTTGACGATAAAAAGGAAGTTGACGATAAAACTAGTCAAGGCTAATTGTAAGTTGGAATTAGTAAGTTGGAAGTTATATTCTTCATCAGAATTATTAAAATGACAAGATAAACAAAAAGACAGTCAGCAAAAAGTAGCGATTTTCAAAATTAAGTAATGAATTGAGTAACAAGAAGAAAACACTGGACAAAATTCCAAACAGCCACTGGCCAGACATCATTCTAGGGTTTGCTGCACTTCTAAACAAGGAATCTTTAGCTCCATATATAGCATTAATATTAATATAAAAGGGATGAACTATATTGAATGAAGTGTGCAGTGAACAATAAAAATAAACTTTGTTATAAACAAAGGATAGAATTTCCCCTAACAATAATCAAACTTTGAGGATGTGCATTTTCACTATATTTAGCAAGGCAGTGTAGGATGCTCAGAGACATTGTTTGTATGGAATATGTTAAGTTTTGAATGAATTATACTTCATAAAATGAATGTGCACTTTTTTAATATTATAGTTATGGCTTGTTAATTGCTTATATTATTTAATTCTTAAAATTGTATAGTAGATTTCCATTTGTCCAGAAGAAAGAATAAAAAAATAATAATGTTTAGAGTAATTGTTTAAAGGGAGTCAATAAATTTAATCAATAATAATCAAATAAATTCTCTACTTTGCTTTCTTACATAGTTTAGTTTGTGTCTTTTGCTAAATTTTCCTTTAATAGATATTTAGAGACTAATCTAAAAATATTTTTTTAAATAATAGTTAAATACAGAGTATTATTCAAAGAAAAATATTGTTACTTCATTATTCTCTTTAAATAAATTTAATATGCTTTTTCATATTATTTTTTGCTTGTCATATTTTAAAAATAAGATTAACTTCTTAATAATTACAGAGCAGTGTCTACAACAATAGATCCATTTTGGGATATTTCACTAGATCTTGGGCCAAACACTCATCTTCAAGCTTCAAGTTCAACTGAAAATACATCAGGTAATAAATATAAATAAAAAAATTATGTTAGTTAATAGAATTTCTTTTTTCTTCTGAGAATAAAAAACTTAAATTTAAAATCTTTCATTTTATATTATTTTACATTTTATATGAACTTAATTTGTTTCTAAAAGTTGTCTGGAAACAAATTTTTTTTTTTGTTCTGAAAAAATTCTCAAATCGAATCAAATTTTCCCAAAAAAAAACAATGTAAAATGGATCAGCCAATTTCCAACTCCTAAAACAAAACCTTTTTTTTTTTATCTTTTTTAGCTGTATTTCATCTATAAAAATGCCTACCAATGCAATATAATATATTATCATCTATATCTATATTCATTATATATAAATATTAACTTGGTCAGGGCTACAGAGGCTGTATATTGAACAAGCATACCATAGTCAATGGACCTCCCCCTTATATTTTACTGATGAAATAATATATTAATAAATAATATTTTATAATAATTCATAAAAATATTGTATTTCAAATCAAAAACTCCTTATAATTTATTTTATTACTAGAATGTGGAATTGGAGATGGACAAGAAGATGCTGAGCCATCATCATTAATAGATTGTTTAGAAAGGTAATAATAAACAATATGTTTTAACTTTTTTAAGACACATTATTTTCATGTAATGTATATATAAAAAGATTAGAAAATTCTTATAAGTTGTTTTACTTATCATATAGTATATCTAAATTGGCTCAATTGATATACTCACTGAAATAAAATGTTTGAGAATTAGAAATGGATTTTTTTCAAAATAAATGATACAGTTTAAAATGCAGATAAAGTATGTTATTAGAAAATCTGAAAAAATATAATATTTTATGTACTACTAGATGTCAAAGTTCAACTTTCAATATCTTACTGAACACTATGATATTCATGCAATCAATTACTGTAAGTGGCATATGCCTATGTTAATACAGTCGACCCCCCTATAAGATCATTGATTTTTCCGTTTTATCTGAATTACATGTTGTACGAGTCACTTAGATTTTACAAATATGTGAGCCATTCACAGTCCGGCACACGTATTTGTAAAATCTAAGTGACTCGTACAACATGTAATTCAGATAAAACGGAAAAATCAATGATCTTATAGGGGGGTCGACTGTATTGTAAATTAAATTAATGTAGAATATATACATATATGTAATATATACATACATATACACATATACATATACACACAAGCACACAAAATATGGAGATCAGTGCAAAGTATATTTTTGTTATATATGAGGGGAGTCTGATATCAAGGTGCAGACCAAAATTACACTAACATTTATAATTAAAGAAAATATTTAATACATTCCACAAAAAACTACATATAGTGGAGCGTCGTTTATCTGAAAGAATTCCAGTCGGCAAATTTAAATTTTCGCTGGAGCAGTGGTGCTGCAATCTTTAGCTATATCTTGGGCTACTCCAATATTTTTTTTGTTGATGTATGTGTTTTAGCTGGCAGCACTGGCACTTTTGTGTGGTGTTTTTCTGAGGACTGTGTGTCGTGCTGAATCAAACGTTTTTGATACTAGATTAACTTCTAAAGTATAATTTTTTTTTGTTTTTATATTTTTCAATATATTTATTTTGTTTGTAAAAAAATAAAGAAGAAATTTTTAAAGATACAATAGCCACAATTATTATTTTAAAAAGTTTACGTTAGGCTTAACATCGACAAAAATTCAACACAAAGTGACATGCAACAGAGAAAAATTTCAACATGGGATAGGTTAATATATTTTTTTATACATAATCGGTTATATGAAAAATAAGTTATCTGAACAACCCCAGTTCCCAATTGATTCGGATAAATGACATTCTACTGTACTTTTGTTTATATCTCGACATAATCGCCTTAAACATTGAGACATTTATCTCAGCATGACATTAGTTTGAACATCCCTTCATGGTACTGCTGCTTGCCAAGTTGCTTGAAATAGTCCAGAATGGTGTCTTGCAATTCCTCCTGATCCACAAAGCGTTTCCCGCCAAAAATTTCTTTAAAGGTCCGAATAAATGAAAATCTGATGGGGAGGTTAAATTTGGACTATACAGATGTTTCAGGACCTCCCAATTCTGCTGTGCCAACCACAGTTTGGTTTGATTTGACGTGTGGAGTATAGTCCAGATTTAGCCCCCTTGGATCTTCGTTTATTTGGATCTTTAAAGAAATTTTTGGTGGGGAAACACTTTGTGGATCAGGAGGAATTGGAAGACACCTTTCTGGACTACTTCAATCAACTTAACAAGCAGCAGTACCATGAAGGGATGTTCAAACTAATGTCATGCTGGGATAAATGTCTCAACGTTTAAGGTGATTATGTCGAGATATAAACAAAAGTATGTAGTGTTTATGGAATGTATTAAATATTTTCTTTAATTAAAAATGTTAGTGTAATTTTGGCCTGTACCTTTAATATTGGACTCCCCTTTGTGTGTGTGTGTGTAGTAGTAGTTCAAAATATCTTAATAATTGACTTCATATTTTAATAATTAATAATTAAATACAGATTTAGAAAAATTTTCTTTTATTTACTTACATAATTTCTTCTAGGTTTACAAGACCAGAACATTTAGGAAGTTCTGCTAAAATAAAATGCAGTAGCTGTCAAAGTTATCAGGAATCAACAAAGCAACTTACAATGAAAAAGCTCCCTGTTGTTGCTAGTTTTCATCTCAAAGTAACTATATGCTATTTAGTTTTTTTATTTTTGTAGTAGTACTGTGTTTCCCTGAAAATAAGGCATCCTCTGAAAATAAGACCTAGCAGAGGTTTTGCTGAATTGCAAAATATACGACCTCCCCCCGAAAATAAGACCTAGCAAAGTTTTTTTTAGTAGTAACGGTCATCCACAGATGGTTGGAAGTGGCCGTTGGCTTTTTGAAAGTACAGCCACCGATTGGTCAGCAGACAATCACACCACACAGCATGATTTGCAGAAGCCTATGGCTTGGGAATGACAGATTTGCATAAGGTTACGGCTGGTGATCGCTAATTGGTCGGCCGGGAATCACGACACATCACATTTGCATAGTGCTATGGTTCAGTAAGCACTAATTGGTCATCAATCCTGATGTCAATGCTATGAAAAGGTTAAATTGAAGCGAGAGTGGGAAGTTCACTCCAGCACGGGAACTTCATAAGTTCACTTTGGTTTTATTTAAGTTCAGTTTGACACGACTGGATATACGTCACTCTTGTTTAACTTAGACTTGGGAATTTTTTTGTTCAACAATAAATGTGAATTCTTCATGGAAAAATAAGACATCCCCTGAAAATAAGACCTAGCACATCTTTGAGAACAAAAATTAATAGACAGTCTTATTTTCGGGAAAACAGGGTAGTAGTAGTAGTTGTTGTTGTTGTTGTTTAATTTATTATTATTATGTTGGATTTAGTGAGTTATACTCAGTCGACACTGGCTGCTATGTACTATGCCAGACCAGAGTCAAGGCATAGCAACCAAAACAAGACAAAAATTAAATAAGGGTGTCAGTGTATGTGTCTGTATTCAGGAATTTCCTAACAATATGATATGTATTCAATATAGTGATCTTCTATAGTGTGATGTATGTGTTTCTTTTCAATTGTAATGTTCCCATGCTTTTGTGTAGTGTGTGTGGTATGACACCTGTAGAGGAGAGGACAACAGGTACAATAAGAACCTTATTCATCCTCCACAGATGCCTTATTTCCTGGGCGAGTTGTGTGTACTGGCTGATTTTTCAGTATACATGTTTTGTACATTGTGAGTATTTGAAATGGATATGTCTATAATGTATGTGATTTTATTGTGCTTGTCAATGAGTGATGGCTTGTCTGTTGTGGTAAATTATTTTCTCTGTGACTATGACTCTGTCATAGTACATTTTGTGCATGTTGTTTTTCAATACTGTCTGTGGAATGTATTTGTAATATGGTTTGTGGCTGTCTAATAATTTGTTTGTTTACAAGCTCTTAGTGTATTATATTTGCTACTTGATTATGTCTATGTAAATAATCTGTTTGTGCCAAGAGCTTGCAACTGGAAGTGATGTTTTGTATAGTTTCTGGCATGATGTGACATTTTCTGCATGTGTCATTTGTGAGTGTTGTATCTTTGAGTATGTGTTTTCTGTAGTTTTTAGTATTTATGCTGTATGGCAATCATGAATCCTTCTGTCTCCCCAAAGAGGCATCCCCAAGCTAACCAGCTGTTTGACGCAGTTATGTCAACAAAATCCTGGGCCAGGTCATAGGGATGCCTGCCATGGAGTGCTTATGAACTCACAATTGCTTTAATGGTGTCTATGCTATTTATACGTTGTAAGTGTAAATTTAATAGTGTGTTATTTGAGTCTGCTAGAGTTACTGCTTTATGTAACTAACTATGATGTTTCTTGTTTTTTGTAGAAAAACTCTTGCAGTGACTGTATTTGTTTGTAATGAAGGTTAACTATGTTGATTGCCATGTCTTCTATCGTTATGTGGAAGGGTTAATCTTTCTATGGCATATTTAGGATGATGATGTTTATGCTTAGCAAGTGTTGTTCTTGTTTTTGTTTGGAGTTGTTCACGATCTGTGTAGGTCCAATGCATAATTCCAAAAGAATACTGGGACAACATATGTGTTTATTGCTTTAACTGTGTTCTGAGAATAGCATTTAACCTACTTTGACATTCTTTAATTAATCTTTGCTTTATTTGTGTATGTTCTGTTAGTTTGGCCTGTTGGAATCCTAAATACTTGCAGAACTCGTCCTCCATGGATTCAATAACATCTCCATTTCCAAGTACAGAATTTTTTTTCAGGACTCCTTTTTCTATATGAAGTGTTTTACATTTGTCTAGGCTAAACTCCATTTGTATGTCCTTGGTGTATAAATATGTGATTTGTAGGAGCTGATGAAGTTGTTTTTGTGTGTAGATGCGTAAAGTTTTATGTCGTCCATGCACATGAGATGTGATAGTGTAAATCATGTTGTGTTTTCATGTCTGTTGATGTAACTATATTGCATGTTGTTTAACATGTTAGATAATGGGTTCAGGGCTAAACAGAACTAGAGGACTTAAGGAATTTCCTTGAAAAATTCCTTGCCTAATGAATATTTGGTTTGTTTGTATGGAAGTGTTATGAAGCCTGGGATGCATTGTTCTCTAGTGCTGCATAGTGTTTTGGAGGAATGCAATGAGTGATGGATGTACTTTGTTCATGTGTAGAATGTGTAGCAGCCAACTGTGTGGAACATTGTCAAATGCTGTTTTGTAGTGTGTATATATATATATACCATGTGTATGTTTCTGTGTTGTTTGGGTGCTTGCTGTGGAATGACTGAATCTATGAGTAACTGTTGTTTCCATCCCCTGTGATTTCTACAGCAATCTTTTTGTTAAATATACACGACCATTGAAATCTGATACGTTAAGTTAATACATTTACAACAGCCATAAATGATCGGGCTATATTTTTGATAAATAATTATAAATTAGAAATGAATTTGGCACTAGAGTGAGGCATTAGGCACCATCTCTTATTAAAATTAATAATATTTAATTAAATAATTTAGAATAAACTGGAAGAAAAGAATCAGCCCAAAACAGGACTTGAACACGCAACTCCCACAACTCCGGGTAGCATAACTGCCAATGCATCCGCATGGTATGCGGGAGTTGTGGGTTCAAGTCCCGCTTTGGGCCAATTCTTTTCTTCCAGTTTATTCTAAATTATTTAATTAAATATTAATTATTAATTTTAATAAGAGATGGTGCCTAATGCCTCACTCTAGTGCCAAATTCATTTCTAATTTATAATTATTTATCCAAAATATAGCCCGATCATTTATGGCTGTTGTAAATGTATTAACTTAACGTATCAGATTTCAATGGTCGTGTATATTTAACAAAAAGATTGCTGTAGAAATCACAGGGGATGGAAACAACAGTTACTCATAGATTCAGTCATTCCACAGCAAGCACCCAAACAACACAGAAACATACACATGGTATATATATATATACACACTACAAAACAGCATTTGACAATGTTCCACACAGTTGGCTGCTACACATTCTACACATGAACAAAGTACATCCATCACTCATTGCATTCCTCCAAAACACTATGCAGCACTAGAGAACAATGCATCCCAGGCTTCATAACACTTCCATACAAACAAACCAAATATTCATTAGGCAAGGAATTTTTCAAGGAAATTCCTTAAGTCCTCTAGTTCTGTTTAGCCCTGAACCCATTATCTAACATGTTAAACAACATGCAATATAGTTACATCAACAGACATGAAAACACAACATGATTTACACTGTCACATCTCATGTGCATGGACGACATAAAACTTTACGCATCTACACACAAAAACAACTTCATCAGCTCCTACAAATCACATATTTATACACCAAGGACATACAAATGGAGTTTAGCCTAGACAAATGTAAAACACTTCATATAGAAAAAGGAGTCCTGAAAAAAAATTCTGTACTTGGAAATGGAGATGTTATTGAATCCATGGAGGACGAGTTCTGCAAGTATTTAGGATTCCAACAGGCCAAACTAACAGAACATACACAAATAAAGCAAAGATTAATTAAAGAATGTCAAAGTAGGTTAAATGCTATTCTCAGAACACAGTTAAAGCAATAAACACATATGTTGTCCCAGTATTCTTTTGGAATTATGCATTGGACCTACACAGATCGTGAACAACTCCAAACAAAAACAAGAACAACACTTGCTAAGCATAAACATCATCATCCTAAATATGCCATAGAAAGATTAACCCTTCCACATAACGATAGAAGACATGGCAATCAACATAGTTAACCTTCATTACAAACAAATACAGTCACTGCAAGAGTTTTTCTACAAAAAACAAGAAACATCATAGTTAGTTACATAAAGCAGTAACTCTAGCAGACTCAAATAACACACTATTAAATTTACACTTACAACGTATAAATAGCATAGACACCATTAAAGCAATTGTGAGTTCATAAGCACTCCATGGCAGGCATCCCTATGACCTGGCCCAGGATTTTGTTGACATAACTGCGTCAAACAGCTGGTTAGCTTGGGGATGCCTCTTTGGGGAGACAGAAGGATTCATGATTGCCATACAGGATCAGGTCATAAATACTAAAAACTACAGAAAACACATACTCAAAGATACAACACTCACAAATGACACATGCAGAAAATGTCACATCATGCCAGAAACTATACAACACATCACTTCCAGTTGCAAGCTCTTGGCACAAACAGATTATTTACATAGACATAATCAAGTAGCAAATATAATACACTAAGAGCTTGTAAACAAACAAATTATTAGACAGCCACAAACCATATTACAAATACATTCCACAGACAGTATTGAAAAACAACATGCACAAAATGTACTATGACAGAGTCATAGTCACAGAGAAAATAATTTACCACAACAGACAAGCCATCACTCATTGACAAGCACAATAAAATCACATACATTATAGACATATCCATTTCAAATACTCACAATGTACAAAACATGTATACTGAAAAATCAGCCAGTACACACAACTCGCCCAGGAAATAAGGCATCTGTGGAGGATGAATAAGGTTCTTATTGTACCTGTTGTCCTCTCCTCTACAGGTGTCATACCACACACACTACACAAAAGCATGGGAACATTACAATTGAAAAGAAA